GGGAAATGAGTCTCTCCCCAGCACCCCCAAACACACCACTCCCCACCCAGGGCTGGACCTTGGAGGCTCACATCCTCAGGCACCAGGTAATGCTTTTCTCTGAGCTCCCTCTTGGGGTGTAGGAGTCCACACTAGCCACACTTCCTCTTAGCCTGACCACATCTCCTGGCACCCGCCCAGCTCAGAGGAACGCTGAGGTAGGGGGGATGGAATCCCACCCTCCCCTGCAGGGCCATGGAAACAGTTTCAGGAGCTGGTCTGGCATAAGGTGTCTCCGGCCTGGAACAAGAGGCTGGACAAGGTGATCTGCAGCTCAGCATCATCTGGGAGTCTGGATGACGAGAGTTCTGACCTCTGCCCCTGGAGAGCTAGCTGCAGAGACCTGGGGTGGGGGCGCAGGGGACTCTCAGGACTTCTCACCCCGCCCTTCCCCGACTCAGAGTGCACTCTCCCAGCCACGAGCACTTGGCTTTGTCGGAAGAAAGACCACACACTTGACAAAGGCCTGACTGGGCCTCTGGGGAGACTGCAACTTCCTGGCCCCAATTCCCCCCCCCCGATTCCTGGACTGGCCAGTAGAGTTGGCTCCTGGAGGTTCCTAATTGCCTAGCCAAGATTTAATTACAGGATTGGACTTTTGGCTGTTTCGAGGGGAGCCTATTATTTGGCTGTTTCTTTTACTGGGGGAACAGGTGTGAGGTGTTGTTATTAGATGGAGTGGGGACCGAGCAGCCACAGGACAGAGTATTAGGCCCCAATGCTGCCTCAGGAAACTCCGCCTCAAAAGCTGACAGGGTGAAACTGGAGTGGGGGGGACTGCTCGCTGCTGAGCCCAGGCCTTCCCCCAACCCAGACCACCCCCAACATGAGAATGAAATGGGTGAAATGGGGGGCATCAGGGCAGGGAGAGCCCTGATATGGATATCCAGACTCTGCAGCCTCAAGCTGGTGTTCATGGGTCACCCTGGTTCCCCCTTTCCTCTGTCCCTAACCAAAACTAACCCCAAAGGCATGGGACCAGGACGGGGAAATGAACACACACTTAAGGAGTGCCCCTTGTGTGCAGGCCCTGTGCTGGGCACTTCACATCTATTATCCTTTTAACCTTCCTAACAACCCTATGAGGGGGTACTATTACTACTCCCATGCCACTGATGAGAAAAGTGGCTCCGAGTATTTTTTTTACTTCCCTTATATGCAAGCTGTTTTCCAAGCTCTTCCTTTCTTCCTAAGAAATGTCACACAAACTAACAACTTTGCTCTTTGTTTCTGCCACCAGCATGCAAGTCCTGCCCCCGTCCTCTCCACCTTGTATCAATTCACCAACTGATTAACCAATTAACTGACCAATTAAGCCACTTCCCTTAGCCCCTGAGCCTACACTTTCTCCTTCCCATCCGTCCTTCATCCAGTTGCTAGGTGAACATCCTTAATACACAGTTGTCACCAGTCACCCTGGCTTGCTCAGTCACAGTGCCTGCTCCTGGCAGCCACCGACTCCAGGCCACAGCTTCTCAAACCTTCACATCCTCCTGAATCACCTGGGGATCTTGTTAAAACGCAAACATTTTGCTGGGCACCTTAATCCATCACCTCATTGAATCTCATAACGACCTTCAATTAATAGCCTGTTTTACAGACGAACAAACTGAGGCCCAGAGAGGTTGCCCAATGTCTGGGATGGGGCCAAAGATTCTACATTTCTAGTAAGATCCCAGGTGACACAGATGCTGCTGGTTCATAGACCACATTTATAGACCAAACTCTCCTGCATAGTCCTTTTTTCTTTAATTTTTAAATAGCAAATACATTTACATGGTTTGAAGATTTTATTTTTTTTTAATTTTATTTATTTATTTTTTCCCCCAAAGCCCCAGTAGATAGTTGTATGTCATAGTTGCACATCCTTCTAGTTGCTGTATGTGGGACGCGGCCTCAGCATGGCCGGACAAGCGGTGCGTCAGTGCGCGCCCGGGGTCCGAACCCGGGCCGCCAGCAGCGGAGCGTGCGCACTTAACCGCTAAGCCACGGGGCCGGCCCATGAAGATTTTAAAATATGGAAAGGCTTCAGTGACAATTCTTCCTCCCACTTCTATCCCCCAATGTGCCCAGTTCCCCCAACCACCACCTCCAGGAACCACTTTTATTAGTTTCTTATGTATCTTTCCAAAGGCCCTCTGTGCCAGTACAAGCAAATAAGATCATACCTATCCTGCCCCAAATGGTAGGACACTACACACACCGTTTTGTCAACAGTTTATCAGTTTATCTTGGAGATACCTGGACAGTCGACTGACTCATTCATTTTTCGAGTTGCAGTATTATTCCATTGTGTGGATGTGCTATAATTTACTTAACCAGCCATCTCCAGGTGGACAATTTGGGTTTTTTCCGATCTTACCACCCGGCCTTTTTAAGCCCGTCATACCCTGGCCAGCCTTGCTGTGGCCTCCCTCCAACCCCTCAATTCCCAGCTCCACTCTCCTGAGCCCCTGCAGAGGCCTCCGCACCTCCTGCATGCCCTCCCCAGATCCTTCAGCCCACCCGATTGCTCCTTCTCTGAATCTCCATCCCACTGTCTCCTCCTCATCATTTACCTCCCCACTCTTCATCTCTCCATGTGTCTCTCTCTGTCTCCCCAAATAGACAAAAGTAACTTGAACTCAGGAACCCTGTCTTCCATTTCTCTGGATCCTTCAACATCCAGAGCTGGGCACATAGCGGTTCTCAAGAATATTAGTTATGTAGTGGAAGTTGCATGTGAATGGAGACACTCAATGGTAGCTCTGCTGGGGCTGGTTCTGGGTGAGCGCAGGAGCTACCCAAGGTGGGGGGGACCTCATACCTCAGAAGTATGCGAGAAAGAAGCCCCTAGCTAGTGCCTGAGTGTCTAGAACACTTGGGTGGGTTCTGATGATGGCCAGGGCATGATGGAGCATCTGGAGTTCCCTTGTGCCCTTGCTGTGTGGACAGAGGGAGGTACCATGATATGGAGATAGGAGGGTGGAGGGATGGCTGGTATGGGTATGTGCTCATGCCCTAGCATGGGCTCCTTCCCTTCTCTATTAACATCCTGTCACCCTTCATGGGCTGGCTCAAGTCTCACCTCTTCCTAGAAGCCTTCCTGGACTTCTCCAGCCCACACCCACCTCCTCTCCACTGAATTCCTGCTGTATGTATTAGTGACAGCAATCTCTGTTCTGGACTTAGCCATCATGGTCTGCCACCTTGACTCATGAAAACCTTATCTCCCTGATGAGACCCCAAGATCCTCTATGGTAGAAACGAGACTTCTGTAATTCTCTTACATCCCCACGTACCCCAAACCCTCGGCCCAGCACTGAGCAATTAGGAGAGCTCCACAACTACTCCTTGAGTGAACAGGAATTGGTTCCAGGGGTGCCATGGTAGCGGGTGGGAAGGGACAGGGTTGACCACAGGCGTGTCTCCAACCAAAAACATTTGGGGGCACAAGTGTTTTTAAAGACGCTCCTGTCCCCTCTTCTGTTCCTCAGTCCCTCCCTTCCTGGTGGGATAACAATGACCTCACAGCCACACGCCCTGGAGCCCGATTCATTCTGTCCCTTGACGCTGTACAGTAAAGGGGACTTTTCAAAAGTGTCGCTGTCATGAAAAACAAACAAGAGCAGGGGACTGTACTAAATTAAGATATTAAAGGGATTTGACAAGCAAATGCCATGTGTGAATCTTGACTGGACTATGGATTGGAAAAAAATTAAAAACTAAAATGACATTTTGGGGAATAATTGGGAAATTTTGAATATGGAGTATACTTTAGATGATAATAGTATATCCACGTTTAAATTTCTTGACTGAAAGGAATGGGAAGATGTCCTTATTCTTAGGCAATGGATGCTGAAGTATTGGTGGGAGTGGGGAGATGTGCCATGATATCCACAACTTTCAGCAAAACGAAAATGAAAAAGTGTCTGTGTGTGTGGAGAGAGAGAGAGCAAAATGTGGCAACATGCTAACAATTGATGAATCCAGGAGAAAGGAATACAGGTGGTCATTTTCCTAGTCTTTCAAATTTTTCAAAATGAAAAGTTGAGGGGGAAATGCCTTTGGTACAAAGAGCGGTACAGCTCCAACGTCTGGGAGAAAGAGAAGGGGAAATGGGGCCGTGGCGCTGTTCTGGAGGAGCTCATGGGAAACACACCGACTGTCTGTGGCTTGATCACCACCCCCAGCCTTCCGCTCCTGCTGCCCAGAAAACATCAAAATCTCACCCCTTGGCCCTACTCTCAGCCTCTTTCACAGTCTCCCAGGTCCTCATCTGACGAGACCTTCCTCCGTGGACAGCCACCTGCTGGCTTAGCCAGGATGGTACTGGAAGCACCTATAGGTCCACAGCTCATCTCCCTGGAGAGTGAACTGAAGATTAAGTGGGCTCGACCCACCTCGAGTTTTAAAAAATTATATTAAATTATAAATTATATTATAAAAATTGTATAATTTATTAAATTATAAAAATTATATTCACTCAACTTCGCAGGAAAAAAAAATAATTTGATGTACAAAAACATGCCAAGCTTTAGTCCTCTTACTTTCTCTTTGAAGCTTTGTCAAGGGGATATTTTCCATCTTTGTCATTCTCAGGGGCATTTCCTTATATCCACTGAAGGCTCATGGCCCACATTTTTGACCCCTTCAACGTGTTGCCCTTGGCCAGCCATTTCCCCGGTCGGTGTTTGGGCACAAGAGTCGTTTCCAAAGTTCCCATATTGACCTGGGCATGAACCTCCTTGCAAGTAGGGACCTTGCCCGCCTCCTGCCTTCCCCAGGGAGGAGAGGGGTGGAGGAGGAGGACCAGGAGGGGACGCGGGGGAGAGGGCGGCTCTTCCAGGCTGGGCGTGGGCTGGGCGAGGCCCCCAGCCCACCGCGCCGTGCCGACAATGGCCTGTTGTAGAAGGAGGCAGGCAGGAATGCGGCCCGGGGAGTTGGGCGGCGGGGCGGCTGCTGCGGTGGCGGCCGCGGGGCGGGGCCGGGGCTCCGCCGCAGCCTCTTACCTGTCCAGGTAGCTCGCATTTCGAGGCGACCGGCGGCGCCCGCAGCACCTGTCGCCCGGTGCGCGGGCGGGGAGGCCGGCGCGGGGCATGGCCCGGTAGAGTCCCCGGGGAGCCGGTGCCGAGTGCAGTCCGGGCCAGGGCAGGGCGCGCGGGGAAGCTCCTTCCCCGGGCCCGCGCGGCCGGCGGCAGCATGAAAAAGAGCCAGACGGTGCAGGGCACCTTCAGCAAACTCTTCGGCAAGAAGCACAACTCCCCCGCCGCCACCTCCCTCTACGCCACCAATCCCCCCTGGATTTTCACCCAAGAGGCCTCGGAGGAGGGGACCAGGCACTTGGGTAAGAGCGCCCGGAGAGAGGCGAGGGCGCTGGGCAGCTGGGGGGCGCGCACACCCCGGGAAGCGGCCGGGGGCGCCGCCTCGTTCCCGGGTGTCGGGGCGTTCGGCGCGGCTGGGAAGGCGGGAGGCGCGGCAAGAAGGGAGGGGAAGGAATACGTTGGCGCCTGCGAACTGGCCGGGAAGGAGCTGCCGGGTGGGGAGGCGGCGCCGCAGCGGGGTGTCTCTGGGGAAGGGCCGCGGGAGGACAGAGGTGCGCGGAAGGAGGGGACCCTCGCCTGCCCATAGCGAGGTCCAAGGTCTTTGCCGCCCCCGCCTCCGATCCTACTCCCTCTTCCGAGGTATTTATTTTCCCTCCTCGGTGGAAGTGATGTTTGCGTTATTGTTGCCAGAAAGGCTTCCTGGGGTTTGCAGTGCCCCCCCTCCCTGGGCAGTACTGTTGAGTCAGAAGTGTTCCTCGAACTGAGGGGTAGGCGGTGGTCCTTTCAACCCGCGCCCTTTCCGCTTCCTCTGTTCCCCAGTTCCCGGTCGAGCGGAGAGAGGGGGCTGCTATCTGGGTGCTCACACACTTGGCTCTGCACAGGTGAGGCCCAGGAAAAATCAACAGCAGCCACTGCAAGCCGGATACCAGCCTGTGCAAGACACCAAGTTACTTATTAGGGTCACAGGCTCTTGCCAAGTCAACCTGGGGCCTGGGTTTTCTACGGGCTCAGACAGAAGGGCCCCAGATGGGACAGTGGAGGCCAAGGAAGCCCCTCTTTACTGCCAGCCGCCCCTGGCCTCCCATGCAGGATGGTGTATCTGCAGGCACCTGAAAACACCATGTCTGTCTGGTCCTGGGGCTCTGGCTGTGCATCACTGCATCTTTCTGCAATTTATATCCTCTATCACTTAGGGGAAACCAGGGGGTGGGAACAGGAATGCATGCCTTGTGTATGATCTGAGGCTCTGGACCCAAGGAGGGTGACTCATCCTTGCTCTAGCTCGCCTGCCTTCATTGTCTCCCCGTTACCTTCGCTGACCTTTATGGCCACTGTGCCACCCACACAGGGTGTTATAGCCTCAGCCCCAGGTTGTCACGGTTGGAACACAGGCACCTGGACGGCAGCAGGGCACACAAGATGTCACCTCTCCCTGGCCCGAGGAGCTCAGACCAGCAGGGGAACAGAGCTGACCGTGTGTCATTTAGCCCTTTCCGAGCATTTGCTGTAAACGATTGCGTGCATAAGGAGTGGAGAAGGGGGATGACCTCTGACTGGAACTAGCATTTGTGCTGAGAGGAAAGGGCATGCAGTGTTTCGCAGAGCAAACAGCGGGACCAAAGGCTGGGAGGGGCAGGGCCGTTTGGAGGCATGGTTTAGGAACTTACAAATACATGTGTGCTGCCAAGTACAACTCTGTGAGGCCTGGGCGCCTCTCCTCGCCAGTGTAGCAAACATTTATTGACCCTTTCTTAGGTGCAAGGTACCATTCTAAAGTCCTCGTGTTGTTAACTCATTGAATCCTCATCTAGCCTGTGGTGCAGGTATTATTACTCCTGTGTGACAGATGAGACCTTGGCACAGGGAGGTTGAGTAACATGCCCGAGATCACACAGCTTTAAATGGCCAAGCCAGGATTTTCTTAAGTGTGCGATTCGATGGGTACTAGACTTAATAGAGTTGTGCAACCACCACATTTCCATTACTGCAAAATTTCCTTAATGAGGCGGAGCCAGTATTTGAACCCAAGCAGTTGGGTTCCAGAGACCAGTTAGCCAGCTTGCTGAACTGACTTTGTGGAAGGTAATTCAAGGGTGAATGTGACTTGAGGAGCGTCTGCCCGAGAACACCTCCTCCCCGCCCCCACCCCCCAACACACATTCCTTCTCCAAGGGAAGACCTCAGAAATGCCTTAGACACTTCCCTACATTTTTGCCTGCACTGAGCAGGCTGCCGGTGGGGATAGGTCCCTCTGGTGAAAGAAGTGGAGGCATGGTGCCCTGTCACGTCCAGCCAGCTGCTGCCTTCACCAGCCTGGACAGGGCTGGAGCCCAGGGGGCAGCTCCTCCCATACCCCAGGGCAGGGTGGGGCCTCCAGCTGACTCAGCCTGGTTGCACCCTGTACATGGAGGGGTGGAAAACAATGTGCACCCAGCAGGATGGCTCCCCAGTATTTCGGGGGTGTTCCCTAGGGTGTGGCAGAGGTCCTCCTCCCTGCTGAACAAGACATGTGCGTGGAGTTGGGGACGGGAAAGACCAGCGTTGGGGATTCTGTGATATGATGGAGGTACCGGACCTGCCTTGGAGTCCTGCCTCTGTCAATAATATAGGGGCTAGCCATGCTCTGGGCCTCAATTTTTTCTTCTGTTAAATGGGGATGGTGTCCAGACTGCCTACAGAATGACTGCTTGAGGTTTGTATATGGCAGTGCTTTGAAGAGGATTTTAAAAAAAAGCTTGAAATCAAGGATTGGCAAATTATGGCCCTGGTTCAAATCTGGCCCATGGCCTGTTTTTGTAAATAAAGTTTTATTAGAACACAGGCAGCCACACCCATCATTTACATATTATCTATGGTTGCTTTCAGGCTGCAGTGGCAGAGTTGAGTAGCTGCAGCAGAGATTGGATGGCCCACAAAGCCAAAAAATATTCACCAGCTGGCCCTTTACGGAAAAAATTTGTCAACGCCGGCATGATTTATTATTATCAGGTCATTCCCAACTCTGAGTGCTTCCTGCCCTTCCCTGCTTCAGTTCCTCTTCCTAACCCGAGACCAGTGGAAACTGAGGCTTGAAGAGGCTATCTTAAGGTCTCAAAGGGGTTGGGACTAGAGTTCCATAGGGTCCTTGAGTCTGTGACATTCTCTGAGATGCTGGCGGTATCCAGCCTTGGAGAACAGGCAGTAGGAAGGAGGAGGCAAAAATCAATGTAGGGGTGTGTAAGGGAATTAAGGAGTAACCTTGCTCTGTGGCTACAGCCATGTAAAACTGTTTGCACAAGAATAGGCTGGGTGCAGTGTGTAAAATGCAAACAGCCATGTGAAGGTGGTGATGGGTAAATTTTTCTTTAAAGAATTTCCCTAACATTTATTCCAGTAACTATTAGGAAGGCTTCACTTAATGCAGTTGCAATTTTCATTAAGTCTCCTGCCTTCCCCCAGCCCACACAAGGGTCTTAAAAGGCTACACGATTGTTTTCTTAAATGCATGAGAAAGCAAAGGTGTGGATCTTTGCAAATCTTGCGATAAAGGCCAGGCTGCAGCCGGACACAAGGCTGCCAGTTGCTCTGGACTCCTCGCTTGCCTTTGGATTTGTTGAGCCAAGCTTCTTTATCTACAGTCACCCCACCCCACCCCAGCAATGGTACACTCTGCTTGCTGGGGGACTCTCTTTCTTGCCTTGTTCCTCCAAATGTAAATTACCTTTGTCACAACCCCCTAGGTCACTTATTTAAAATGCAGCTTCCTGGGGCCCCACCTCAGGCTCAGGAAGTCGGAATCGCTGGGCTCGGGCCCAGTGTCCATGTTTTTCACCAGCTCCTGGGTGAAGGAAAGAATCGAGGAAGATTTGAGAATCCTGGGGTTTCCTTCCCCAGATGCAGCCAGGCCATTCTGTTTCCCCTTAGGACTTCCTGCAGGTTCTAAACAAATGTGTAGGGACTGTGGCCAGCTCCTTATAGGGAGAACCCCAATACTCCATGGGGTGGCTGCTGGTTCTGGTATTCCTGCTCCTGGAGCCCCTGGTCCTGTGTCTCAGGCCAGGCCAACGGGTAGGAAGCCATGAGCCCCAGGAGCTGAACACATACTTCCAGCCAGGCTGGCACCAGCCTCCCAAGCTGACCTGTACTTTGCAGGGGTGTGAAGGAGACTTTTGTTTACTCCTGTCCCCTGGAGCTGTGCTGTGCTCTGCTGGCAGTTCACTACACACACACACACCCTCTCTGCTGCCCATTATATAAGCTCCTCCTGTCCCTGTAGTTCAGCAGAAAGCCAGGCCCTCCTTTGACCGCTGCAGACCGGCTACAGGGTGCCCTCCCTCCCAGCCAATAAATTAATCACAATTATAGTATCACCGTCATTATTATTATTATCAGTGTTCAGTTCTTGAACCAGGCACTATGCTAAAAACTGCATATGTTTTCTCAATTGAGTTAACAGACTCAGAAGGATCGGATAGGTTAAACGACTCAGAGTCATTTCAGCTCAGGGCAGCTCGAACATTCAAGTACATCCATCCAGTCCTTTGGGCTGGAGGGAGATTCTGCACCTCCGACAAGTCCCTCCCCAGGTCTGCAGACCACACTTGAGTAGCAGGTCCTGGCTGGGAGGCAGAGGGCCTGTCTGCTGTGGTCTTTCCCCTCCAGTCCCCACCCCCAAGGCTCCCCCTCTCTATCCCTCCTCCTCTACTCTGTGGCTTCCTGCTGCAGCCCAGCCCAACCTTCAGGTCCCCTCTGCCCTTGGACAAAGGCCTCTCTCTGGTGCTTGCTGGGACAGACTGGTCTTTTCAGGTTCCTGTCATGTGGACCTGGTAATTAGCAGGAAGGGCCTCATTAAGGCCATTTGTGGGTTACATTCACATGGGCTCCCCCTGCTGCTTTCCTGAAAGGCTGGGGCTTCCCTAGTGGTCTAGGTTTGGAATCCCCACCTCAGTGGGGTAGAGGTGGGGGGGCTTTGGGGTTCTGGGTTACTCTGGGTCAAGGCAACAAACTCTGCCAGCTAAAGCCTCTGGAATCAGATTAGACCCATGGCCAGTGCTCCTGGGGTCTCCCAGCAATTTGGGACCCCACACCATCACACCAGCCCTCCTCTCACCCCTGCTAGTTTCTTTCCCTCTCCTGAGGTTGGGAGGCTTCCTGCAAAATAGGCGTACTTATCCCCATTTGACAGGTGGGGAAACTGAGCCTGAGAAGGTGCTCAGAGTCCTCAGGTATTACACAGAGGAGCTGGGGTGTGACCCCAGATCTGATCCCCACGTCCATTTGCCTTCCTCTAGGCCTCAGCAACTCGACTCTCTCTCTGGAAAAA